AAGCGAGGAGGAGACGGAGTCTGGCGCATGGCTGTACACTTTGGGCGAGTTCTGCAGTACCTGTATGCTTTACATTTACATAAGAGCACTGTGACATCGGAAATATTTTCCTTTTATTACAATATATCAAAAATATGCAGCTTTAGTAAACAAGGTCATATTACACTTTCTAATGCACTGTACAATGCTACATTACACTTATGTTCGGTATGGAGAGGGAGCCCGGGCTCCCACTGGCAGGTTTGTGGGGTGAAACGGCGTCCACCGCTTTACATTTACATAAGAGCACTGTGACATCGGAAATATTTTCCTTTTATTACAATATATCAAAAATATGCAGCTTTAGTAAACAAGGTCATATTACACTTTCTAATGCACTGTACAATGCTACATTACACTTATGTTCGGTATGGAGAGGGAGCCCGGGCTCCCACTGGCAGGTTTGTGGGGTGAAACGGCGTCCACCGGCCAACCCCCGTGGCAGTCGCACCACCAGCGTTCGCCCCAGGCCCTCTCCTCCGGTCCCAGAGTCTTTCACAGTCCTGTCCTCACGCCTCGGCAGCCCCGGAGCTTAGTCGATCTTTTCCACCTTCCCGATGATCTTCTCTTCGAAGATGGGCAGGATGGTGTCATCCTCCCGTACCTCCTCGAAGACCACACCACAGTCAAACTCGTCACTCACCTTCTTAAAGTAATACCTGAAAAACCAGAAACATGGGGGCAGAGAGGTGAACGGTCACGAGGGCACCACAGTCCCCAAACCCAGCCCTTCCATGCCCCTGAGCTCGTGGTGCATGGGGAGCAGCTCCCCCAGAAATGGAGGCAACTGGGGCCACACTTCTGCCCCTGCCCTCAGCCAGGGAGCAAAAAAAGAGTGGTCAGGATCCGTGCTGGCACGTTCAGGAGCTCCCGCCCTGAATCCAAGCCCACTCACAGCTCGCTCAGCAGCAGTGGCTGGAGGCACCCATGCTGGTGGAGCGTTTCTAGGCAGGCTTTCCCATGGCAGCTCCTACTTGGAAGGGGGAACTAGGAGAGCTATGCGCTCCATGCCCGGCTGCTTTGGAACTCTGGCAGGACCCAGCCCCCCTGTCCTCACTGAAGGAAGTTTTGTGAAGGAGCCGAAATGTCTCTGGAAATTGGAGAGTTTCCCACAGCACCACTGAGCACCAGCTCAGGGGCCTACAGGGCAGCTCAGCAGCTTCTGTTGAAGGTACAAATGGTGATGCAGGACATTCCTG